TACTTTGGTCCTTTCAAGTCACATAGAAGATTCAAAATGCAACATACAAGCTCAGGTTGCCAACAACTTCACGAATTTATCCTGTCTTTCATGTATCCTAACTCAAAAGATATGTTATAGGCAAAGAAGTGATCATACAAGACTTACCTCCTAATACTTGTGAAGGCTTAGTGTCTAACCTCCCAAGTTGTGCAACAAAGGACCGTAATTCATGGAAATCAGCCTGTGGACCAGGTCCTTATCAAGTGGGAAGGTGCTCGAACTTAAGAATGCATGTGAGAAGACAGGATGTTCGACATCAATTTCCAAGTCTTAATCTTGGGGACGAGGTTGCTATTCAAAGGGAGGGTAACAAAACTATTTTTTTTTTTTTTTTGAAGTATTGTAACAAAACCATTAGGAGTATATTATAGGGATAAGGGGAAAATTGTAATAAATGTACAGGGGCAAAAGAGTAAAAAATGCAAAAGGTAAAATAAGGTTTTCCTCACCACTTGCACAGAAGGTTCTCCTGATGAAGCTGATAGTCAACTTTTGTAACACGAACCAGTTGCAATGGTTTCAACTGACAGATTCTCCTCTGTAACGGGCATGGACTAATCATTTCAAATCAATTCGAATCTCTCTTCTCTCTTTCTCTCTTGTCTATCATCTTTTCTTATCCGAATTTTGTCTGACTTGGTAGGAATCATGAGTAAGGGTTCTGACATACTAGTATTTATTAATCTAATTCTACTTTGGAAAATGTTACTTAAGGGATGTTATAAATGTTGTGCCATTTCACTTTTTTGTGAGATTTCATTTATTCAATGTACTTAGAGTTTCTCAATTTTCTAGTGTATAATAATTTAAGTGTGATGCTTAAGCCTTCTCAAGTGTGATGTCTAAAAAACCTCTCTGTGGTCTTATAGTTTTCTATCTCCAAATTTGTACGTCGATTAATTGACTTTAATTTATCCTACCTCAGAACCAAACAAAAGGGAATTGTTATTCACATGTAATGGCTATTTCTTTAGTACTCATTCTTCTTGGTTCTGCCAATTAAACAGGTTATTAGTTTTTAATCACATCAGTATCACTTGCTTTTTGCAGTTTGGAACTTTGGGGGTACAAGCGTGTCGAGGAGATCATCTGGGTGAAGACTAACCAACTTCAACGAATAATTAGAACCGGGCGTACCGGCCATTGGCTCAACCATAGTAAGGAGCATTGTCTTGTCGGAATTAAGGGGAACCCAGAAGTAAACAGGAATATTGATACTGACGTCATTGTTGCTGAGGTTAGAGAGACAAGCCGTAAGCCAGATGAGGTTCGGGAACAACAGTACCAGATTTCTTAATAGTCAATTCATGCTGCAGCCTTGTTTTTTTTTTTTTTTTTGAATGTTGGTGCTTAATTGTTATTGGCCTAATG